TAACGGTCCCTGGTTCCAGGTGGGTCAGATCACCAGAGACGTCCCCTGAAGCCCAGCGGACAGCACAGCCACTCCCAACGCTGGGAACGGCCGTGGGATAGGCAGCCACAGGCCCTGTCCCTCTGGAGCAAACGGTCGCTCACCCAGCAGAGTGCACCTTTACCCTTTCTGTGGCTCTCCAGCATCTGTTTGGAGTATCTCCTACCTTGGGAGCCTCGTGCGGACGTAGAGCCCTCCTCCCAACCCAGAAACCAGACCTCGCCCTCCCAGCCTCCTTTGCGGCTGCACTGCAGGCATGTGACCTGGCTCAGCCAATCAGATACACCCTCCCATGAATTCTGACTCCCGAGCAGGTGGTGCAAAGGCAGCGGAGATGGGAGGTATCTGACAGAATTGGGGGCAACAGCGGCAGCAGGAAGAGTTTTCAGGGGGCAGTGGAGCCGCAGAGCCTTGTGGTCCTCCCTGCTCTGGCCTGGAGCTGTGATTTGGGCTGAGGTTCTGGCTGCAGTCTGGTCGTCCCGGGCTCCTGCACCTGGCTCTGCAGTGGGCTCGAGGAGTCCGTGAGCTTTCCGTTGCTTGCAACCAGGAGACCCTGACCAGTAAATGCAGAGAAGTCGTATCATGGGAACGGAGAGGCGCTGGGGCTTGGAGTGTGGATACATCGGGACTTGGGCCGTGATTCCGTGTTGGTGGGCAGCCACGGAGGAATCCAGTTTCCTGATCAGGAATGTGGACGGGACACCCCATTTAGGTATCAGGTCCGGCAGCCCAGGCAGGAAGTGCCGTGGGTGAGGGGCAGTAGGGATGTGAGAGCAGAGAGCCTGGAGCCTGAGGGTGGGGCTGGGAGGAGGGAGATGAGCTCAAGGAGGGAGGGGGGTGCCTTTGTAGGAGGAGGCAGGCCAAGCTGGGTCACATGGTTCCATCTGCCCACAATATTTTTTTACCTTCTTGGATATGTCACACAGTGTATTGGTTAATAAGACAGTCTGGGGGTGGCTATTGTTTTCCTGATTGTACATATAGAGAACGATGAAGTAATTGGTACAAGATCAGAAAAGCAGAAGGGGACAGGGCCAGAATTTATACCTGGGCCTAACTCCAACAATGAGGCCCTTAACCTAAAGAGATGCTCAGATGAGGGACCCATGTCCCCGCCTCGATCCCTGAGTTTTTATATGCTTCTGGTGTGTACTTTAAGTGACATATACTCCTTGTAAGTACTTTGTGAGGCAGTTTGGTCAAGCAATAGAATCTGGGGGGGGCTGGCTCACTTTGTAAATACCGATCCTCCCCTCCTCCCACACCAGGAAAAAAATTCAGGTCCAAATAAATGAGCTGCAGCGCTCAGGCTTGGTTGCGGTTGCCTCCCCACTGGCCCTTCTCCTCCCACTACCCCTCCCCTCAGTACCTGCTGAGCTCCGGTTTGTTCTAGGTGTTTGTCCATCTCCTTCTGGACTCAGGATTAGTACTGTGGAACTAATAGTGGAAATATCCCCCTTGCTTGGGATAGATTCAGGCATGGGATATGGCTCAATTCTGGTCAATGAGCAGTGAGGAACAGTCTCTTAGGAGCTTCAGGGAAAAATTGTCCTTGATCTTAAAAGGGGACACAGGATGAGGTGTTTCCTGGGTTTGTTTGTTTTGTTTTACTGTTATGGACATTGTTGTGTAGCAATGTGATGTCTGGGGTAGCAGCAGCCATCTTGTGACCATGAAGAGAGCTAGCGAAGGACAAGGCAATATGCTGAGAATGGCAGAGGGGAAGGAAAAGAGGAAATAGCCTGAGTCCTTGATGATGATGGTGAACTGCAGGATTAACCTCTGCCGAAGCTACCCTTCCTCTGGACTTTTTGTTCTGTGAGATAATACACTTCCCTTATTGTCTAAGCCAACTGAATAGAAATTCTGTGTTTCTGGCCACTGAAACACAGAATTTTTTTTTTTTAAAAGATTTATTTATTTATTTGACAGAGACAGAGAGAGCAGGAACACAAGCAGGGGAGTGGGAGAGGGAGATGCAGGCCCCTCGCCGAGCAGAGAGCCCAACGCCGGGCTCGATCCCAGGACCCTGGGATCATGACCTGAGCCGAAGGCAGACGCCCAATGACTGAGCCACCCAGGCGCCCCTGAAAACATCTTTACTAGCGCAGGAACCATGGGACCAAAAGATAAACACCTGACATAATAATCTGATATGCTAATAGCTGACAGCAGGGACAATAGCCATTGGTTAAATGAGGAAAATCTGATTCCTTAACCACAAGAGGCCCTAAGAATTTCTTTCTTTCTCTGCAACATGAATTGCATGGGCCCTACATTCTGCATCTTGTCCAGGCATGTGGGAGGGCTTCTATCAGAGGAGAGGTCCATTCCTGGCCAGCTGAACTTCTGACTCCCATTTCCTGTAGGGTCAGCAGAGGAAAGCAGCTTTATTTACTGAATCAGGATGGAAAACAGATGTCCAAACACCCCACTGGGCCCAGGCTCACTCTGGACAGAGGCTGGGCCTGTTCTCAGTCCTGACCCACTCACCAGTCCCCTGTTCCCCATATCGAGTCCAGATGTGGCTTCTTCCAAGCTCTAATAATAATTTTGATTTGTTGCGGTTAAGTAACCTTTGCCCCCAGCTCAACCCTAAACTCTCCAAGGAGAAAAATAGGAGTTATATTATGAAACTTTTGTAAGCAAGCCTGGGTGGGACACAGAGGAATATGGACTTGAGAAGCAAACCAACGTGGGTTCAACCACAGCGTGGTCTCACCCTAATGGTGTGATCTCAACTATTGTATCAGTCAACAGCAGCTGTGTAACAAGCCACCGCAAAACTCAGTGGCTTAAAACGGTAACTGTTTATTTGCTCATAGTTCTAAATTTGGGCTGGGCTTGGTAGGACAGTTCATTTGTTCTCCACATAGTGTTGTGTTTTGGAAGTGAAGTCAGATGGGACGTTGGAGCATGTGCACGAGCTGAGGAGACCTGTACAGTTCATCTGCCCTGTTCTTTGCTTCCCTGTCCCTATGTAGACCCTTTTCCTTTTGGTCCTTCCTTACTCCTCAGCAAGCTGAAGGTAGAAAATGTTGGTAGCATGTGTGCTGCCACGAAGAGAAGCTCTTCCCATCAGCAGCCCGAGGTGATCTCTGAAAATGGTTCGCTATTCACTTGACCCAGAAAACCCCATGACATCACTTAAATGGAGAAAGTCAAATCCTCGTGTTCCCTTTAAGAATACCCAAGAAACTGCCCAGGCCATCCTGGATATTCATTTGTGAAAAGTCATCAAGTCTATGAAAGATGGCACCTACAGAAACAGTGTGTTTCTGTTCCGCAAATAAATGGTGGAGCCTTGCTCACGCCAAACAGTGGGGGCTGGGTATGCGGTCAGGAGCCCAAAAAAGAGTACTAAATTTTTGCTGCATGTGCTTAAAAATGTCAAGTGTAATGCTGACCTTAAGGGTTTAGCTGTAGATTTTTCTGGTCAGGGAGCACATCCAAGCGAACAAAGCCCCTGACCTTATAGAGCTCATGGGCAGACAAACCCCTAACGTGAGCTCTCCTTGCCACATTGAGATGACCCTTACTGAAAATGAGCAGGTTCTTCCCAAAGTAGGAGAGGAGGTTGCACAGGAGAAAAAGCTATCCCAGAAGAAACTGAAGAAACAGAGACTTATGACTGGGAATGAATTCAGCATAAAATAAATGCAAATAAAAGTAAAGACATAGGGTGACTGGGTGGCTCAGTCTTTAGACGTCTGCCTTCGGCTCAGGTCATGATCCCGGGGTCCTGGGATCGAGCCCCGCATCGGGGCCCTGCTCATCGGGAAGGCTGTTTCTCCCTCTCCCGCTCCCCCTGCTTGTGCTCTGTCTCTCTGTCAAATAAATAAAATCTTTGAGAGACACAGAGCGAGAGGGAACACAAGCAGGGGGAGTGGAAGAGGGAGAAGCAGGTTTCCAGTGGAGCAGGGAGCCCGATGCGGGGCTCGATCCCAGGACCCGGGATCATGACCTGAGCCGAAGGCAGACGTTTAACGACTGAGCCACCCAGGCGTCCAAAATCTTAAAAAAAAAAAAAAAAAGACAAGACAAGACATAAAAAAAAAGCAGAAATAAAACTGAGTTAGTTTTGTGCAGTGTTTCCACTGTTCTTGTAACAATGAAGTACATATGCATATATGAGCTATGGAATATTAATTGCATAATTTTCGTGAGTCCACATACGTGGTAAATGCTCTCATTTGAAACTGACAGTAATGTAAAGCTGAACAGTAAAATTCACGCTAGTATTTAAATTAAAAATTTTTTTCTTACTTAGAACAACATTAAGTAGCAAATAAAAAACACCATGATGTTGGGAGGGGGTAGGGGGCTGGGCTAACAGGGTGATGGGCATTAAGGAGGGCACGTGATGTAATGAGCACCGGGTGTTTTATAAGACTGATGAATCACTGACCTCTATCTCTGAAAGTAATAATATACTACATATTAATTAAATTGAATTTAAATAAAAAATTTTATTTATTTATTTTTAAGATTTTATTTATTTGACAGAGAGAGCACAAGCAGAGGGAGAGAGAGGGAGAAGCAGGCTCCCTGCTGAGCAAGGAGCCCCATGTGGGACTCGATCCCAGGACCCTGGGATCATGACCTGGGCCGAGGGCAGCTGCTTAACCGACTGAGCCACCCAGGCGTCCCTTAAATTAAAAATTTTAAAAAACACAGCACGATGACTTGAGAGAGAGACTATGGAAGAAAGGAGAGCTTTATAGTTTAGTATCTTTAATGACTTTTTTTTTTTTTAACTTTTTCAACAAGGAGCCCCACATTTTCATTTTCTCTGGATTCTGCAAATGTAACTGACCCAGGGGGCCAGGTCTCTTAAGTTAAGGCAGGCTTAGGTCTTCACTTTGGTCACATTCTATTGGCCAAAGTGAATCACAAGGCCAGTTCAGAGTCAAGGGGGTGGGGGAGGGAAACAGACACTGAGGTGTTTTTTTTTTTTTTAATTTAAGTAATGTCTACTCCCGGCCTGGAGCTCAAACGCACAGCAGTGAGATCCAGAGTCACATGTTCCACCGACTGAGCCTGCCAATCAGGCACCCCCAGACTCCAAGTCTTGAAGGAAGCATTTGATACAGCAATGAGAGGAACTGTTGGTGGCCATCTTTGAGGGCAATATTCAACAACCATTGGTCAAAACTTCTCTCCTCCTCAGGCTTCTGATCTGTAATACAGGAATAATTCTATTTACTTCCCAGGGTCATTTGAGAATAAAAGCATATTGTGGTTGCAATTCTCGGAACATGGCGGACAGCACATTCAGGATTGGCTGCTCCCCTTTAACCTTGCTTTTTAAAATGCTTACCTATTTGCTATCTCATTCCATCCATCCATTCATTCATTCAGTATCTCTTGAGTCCTGTGACCCAGGTACTGCCCTAGATGCAGAGAACACAACAGACAAAAGTCCCTGTCCCCACGGAGTTTACATTTTGATAAGAGAGACAGGCAAAAGTTATCCTCAACTATGTGGTGTTCGGATGGTGAGCGATGCTAAGAAGAAAAAGCCAGAGAAGGGGATAGAGAGTGCTGAGGAGGGGCTGCCCTGTGTGGCCAGGTCCTCTGAGTCAATCCTGAAGGCAGAGCCATGAGGATATTCCGGGCAGAGGGAAGGGCCAGCGCAAAGGCTCGGGGAGAGGGGATGGCCGGGGTGTTTGGGGAACAGTCAGGGGCCCGGGGTGCCTGGAGCTGAGAGCCACAGGAGAGAGAGGGCAGCTCTTCGCGAGCCATTGGCAGGATTTTGCCTTTTACTGCGGAGGAGATAAAAACACAGGGGCAGGTTTGGAGGAGGGGTTAGTGGTTGCAGTGGGGAGCAAAGAAGGGGGTGGGAGGCCAGTGGGATGGTGGCCTGGCCAGGGTGGTCATGGTGGAGGTGGGAGAAGTGGCCGGATTCTGAATGGTTTCTTGGAGGTCAGCAGGCGGGATTTACCTATCAACTCTCAGTAAATCAATCTGGTATGGAAAGCAGGTATTATTCAATTCTCATTTTATAGAAGAGGACATCTGAGTGATTTGCGCAATGCCATACAGCTTCTAAGTGGTGTCCCTGGGCAGGCAGGAAGGCTATGGGATCTGTCTGAGGCTGACTAGTAATGGGATGTGTGTGGTCTGCCTGTGGGTGTGTCTATGACATGCCTTCTCTGGGTCATCTTTTTTTTAAAGAGAGAAAGAGAGCACATTAGGGCATGAGAGGGGGGCGGGGCAGAAGGAGAGGGAGAGAGAGAATTTTATTTATTTATTTATTCATGAGAGACAGAGAGACAGAGAGGCAGAGGGAGAAGCAGGCTCCCCACTGAGCAGGGAGCCTGATGTGGGACTCGATCCCAGGACCCTGGGATCATGACCTGAGCCGAAGGCAAACGCTTAACCATCTGAGCCACCCAGGCGCCAGAGAGAGAGAATTTTAAAGATTTTATTTATTTATTTGACAGAGAGGGAGAGTTAGAGCAGGAACATAAGCAGGGGGAGTGGGAGAGGGAGAGGCAGGCTTCCTGCCGAGCAGGGAGCCTGACACGGGACTCGATCTCACGACCCTGGGATCATGACCTGAGCCGAAGAGTCGATCTCTTAACCAACTGAGCCACCCAGGCGCCCCTCTCTGAGTCTTATTTGTCCCCTGATCTCCATCTGTGACCAACTTCCACCTTCTCTCCTCTTTCCCCTCCTGTCTTGTAGACACAAATTCGTCCTGCCCCCCAGGCCCATTTCCAAAGGGCCTATGTACTTCCGGTGCCCAGGGGAACCAAGCTGTGTCAATGAGAGTGTTTAAGTTTGTGCGTGACTCTTGTCATGCTCCCGTGCCTTATGTGAGTGTGCATGTCCCCCGTGTCTGAGTGTTACTTTGGCCATGTGAGGGTGTCCATGCATGTCCCTAGTTCTGAGAACCTACGTGTGTGGGGGCTTCAGGACCCGAGTGTGTGTGAGCCTGTGTGGTGTGCCTGTGTGTGCAAATGCGTGAGTGCATGGAGGTGTTCTCTCTCCCCTCCACCCACTCAGATTTGCTCCCATCCTAAAACACGCAGGCCAAGCCTACCTCTTCCCCTTTCTGATTCCTGACCTTCCACTGCCCCATCCGTCAGAACCACACAGGCTAGCCTCCCGTCCTTTGCCGGTGGTCCGGCTGGTTTCGAGGGGAATCCATTTCCTAGACTGCAGGGCAAGGTGGGCCTGCGTGCACACCCCACCCTTGGTCAACCTTCAGCTACATCTCTTGAGGTCAATGGCCCCTCCCTCCGCCTCCCCTGCGGGTTTCTTTAATGGAGGGAGGGACACTGACCTCAGAAGGGTCTGGCAGGCGGGTCTGGTGGCCTCCAGCAGGCTGAGGCAGGTGGGCCAGAAAGTGGTTGCACCCCGGGCTTCCTTCCTCCCTGAGGGTGGCCAGGAGACTCTCCAGGCAGCAGGCTGGAAGTCCACACTACATTGTCTCAGTGAGCTCCCAGGGGCCCGTTGTCGGGGCCTTGGGACCCCAGAGACTTGTCCCCACTTAGGGAGGCCTGTGGGTCCCAGGGCAGCTTGGCCCTACTCTTTGCCTCCTTCCCCCACTCTCCCTTTAGGAGGCCTCAGGCCTCCTCCCCAGCTCTAGCCCCAGAGCATTCCATGTGCTCCTTCTGGTCTAAACCCTTTTCCTTCTCCGTCCCCTTCTTCTCCAGACATTGGTTCCTCTGAGAACCCGTTGGCCTCTCCTACAGGTACCAGAGGATCCGTTTTCTTTAACGCACTGGACATTGGACCCTTGCTTGGAGCAAGGTGAGGAGGTGCCTGGAGGCATGGGGTCACTTGAGTCCATCCCCCAGGTCAGCCTGCCCTTCCCTCAGTCCTGACCAGGCACACTCGAGCCTCAGGGCCTTTGTTCTAGTCCTTTCCTCTGTCTGGAATGTTCTTCCCCAGACCCTGCTTGGCTTCTCCCTCTCCAAGCGTTTGTCAACCTATCATCTTGCCAATGGAGCCTACTTGGTCTACCCAATTTAATACTGTGGCCTGACTGCATGCACACACGCCTCGCACCCTCCTGCCCATCTCCTGGCCCTGGCTCCGCCTCCCTGATGTCTCATTACATCCGTCATCTCCTTACATACAACAGAGTGTGTTCTGTCTACTGTGTCGTCCCTCTGAGAGCGTTGGCCCCAGGAGGGCAGGGATCTCTCTGGCACTCCCCAATATTTCCCAGGTGCCTGGAACCGTGTGGGGCCATTTGAGCTGCTCCAGAGACATTTGTTGTGGTTGTTGGCACGGCTGCTGAGAGAAGAGAGAACCTGTGGGAGAAATGGCTGTTCCTTCCCCTGGCCTGTGGTCAGAGGGCTGGACTCTGTGCCCACCTGGCGGGGGAGGTCCGGCTCCCTCTACCCCATCCGCCTTCCTGGGGGGGGGGGGCGGACACCGGGCCAGGGAGCCACACCCCCCGTGCTGGCCCCGCACATGCATGTTGGCATACACCTGCGCACCCGGCCTCTGTGGCCCCACCACCCACCACCTGCTGACGTGGCTGTGGTTTTGAGGCCCCAGAGGTGCAGATTAGAGACAGAGTGTCCTGTTTTCTGCGGCTGCAGAGGCAGGTGGGGGTGGCGGACGGGCTCCCCTGCAAACAAGTGCACGCAGAGGCCCCTTGGCCTCCCCTTCTTATACGCCCATGCACACGCAGTTACGCACACACAGACAGACAGCCGGGTGGCCCAGCAGACATGCTGCTCTTAGGTCTCAGCACAGGAGCTGTGCCCCTGTCTGTACCAGGCCCCGCCGCAGCTGGGGAGAGGGGGCAGAGAAAGAGGCTGGGAGCTCCCTCCCCTGCACTGGAGCTGCCACCTTCAGTGCTTCATGCCCACCCAGCGTGGCCACATAGCTACATTCGCCAGTTCTTTCCTCTGGGGGAAGCAGTGCCCTCTTTTGCCTTCTCCTGTCAAAACCACATCCCCGGAGGAGGGGGCCTGCATTCAGCCCTTGGTGGGATGTCGCTCCTGCGCTCCATGGCGCCCATGGTGGCTGGCTGGACTGCCACGCAACCCCCCCCCCCCCGCCGCGCCCCAGGTGCCTGCCAGGTCCAGCCTGACCCCCTGTGCCCGTGCCTTCGCTGCTCCAGGAATCCCCGCTTGGAGGGGAGATGAGTGTGGCCCCCGGAACCAGGCCTCCTGGGTTGAATGTCAGCCCTGCATGACCTTAGGCAAGTCACTTCACCTCTCTGTGACCCAGTTTCCTCCCTGGCAGAGCTGTTGTAAAGAAGAAATAGGTTCATATATGCCAAGTGCTTAGCCCAGCACGTGCTGCGCAGGGAGGTTGTCAGTAAATGTGAGCTGTTGCTATGATGGTTTCCTGCCTCAGAGCCAGGAGGACCTGAGAAATGGCCTGGGTTGGGGCTTGCGGCCCACGGCTGGCCTCCCAGACCGAGCCAGCAGGTTCCAGACCCACCAGGAGCTTGTTGGAGACTCAAGAGGGCCAGGCAGCAGGTGGGCCTGGGGCAGGGGCTCACACCTCAGCCTGCAGCCACCTGTAAGACAGGAATCCCCCAATCTCCCAGCCTCAGGCTTGTCCCCCGCAGCCTCCCCGTTCTCCACGCCCCCGGGCCTTGCAAGGCACCCCTCGGGCCATCTCCCGCAGTAGGAATGCCTGTCGACCCTGCTTCCTGAGCACGCACAGTTCCTACTTCCCAGGGCCTCAGGCTCCTCAAGTAGGAGAGGGAATAAAGGTTCCTACATCACAGGATTAATGTCAGGGGAGGTCATGGATGAAAAGTGTACGGCCCTGGCAGCCAGTCATGGCCACCTCCCATGACTGCCTGCACCCCAAGGCTGGCGGGTCCTGCTTGCTGCTCCAGGGCTCCCAGCGGTGTCCAGGAACCCAGACTCATGGCAGGCCTCGAGATACAGCTCTTGCTGATGGGGGACTGGAAAGAACTGGGAGTCCTGGGAACTGACAAGGGGGCGTGATGACTGAAGCTTGAGGGTAGACAGTGCTCACCCCAAACAGAGCTCGAATGAAGGAGGAAGGAAGAGAGGACCAGCTGAGCACACCCTGGGCCCCAGAGGAAGTTGAAAGCTGGCCCTGGCGGTATGACAGTTCAAGGGACCGCACCACACCACAGCTCCCCACCCTGCCCTCCCTCGCCTGCTGACTGACGTCAATGGGGAGTGCATGACCCTGCCTGCCCCCCCCAACGCCGTGAGCCCCTGGCTCTGTGAGGTGGGGTCCCAGCCCAGGGGCTCCCACAGCTACTCTCCACACAGCGGGGCGGCCAGCAGAGCCTTGTGTCTGTGTCCGCATTGCCCTCTCCAGGTTCCTTTAATGAAAGGCACCCAGTCAACAGCACCTCTTTACTTCCCCACACCGCCTCCCATCTCTCAGGTGTGGCCCTGGAAGGTATCTATTAAGCACCCACTATATACAAGGTGGTTTCGTATCCATGAGCTCATTTAATCCTTCACAATAGCCTGAAGTGAATAGTTTAAGGATAAGGGAAACAGCTCAGAGAGGCTAAGTAAACTGCTTGAGGTCACACAGCTTGTAGGTGACCCAGCTGGCCTTCCAAGGCAGGCTCCTGTCATGAAGTTTGTTATGCCTACAGGTGAGTGACTTCATGCTGGAGGAGCCCTTGGAGAGTCAGTGCAGCTAGGCCTCTTGTTTGTCAAGGAGGAAATGGACACCCAGTGCTGGGAAGTGAGTGCCCTAGGCGGTGCCGAAGGCCGCTGTCAGAACCAGGCAGGATTAGGGAACTTTCTTCTGGCATTGGGTGCCTGGCAGGAGGGGCTCTGCCAGGAAGCCTTCTTCCTTCACCGCCTCCAGCTCTCCACTCAGAGGCCAACTCCTCAGAGAAGTCTTTCTGGCTAGTCCTAGCTGAAGTAGGGTTCTATCATCCTCCACCTCCTGGCCTGGCTTTATTTTTCTTCATGGCACTTACTGTCCCTTGAAGTTTTATGCATCATGTTATTTATTTCTTGTTCCCTCACCCCTACCCCAGTTAGAATGTGAGCTCCATGAGCTCGGGGCAGATCTATCTTGTACCTGGCACAAACTCAACAATTTTTGTGTGGAATGAATGAATGAATGGAGTCAGATGGTCAAGAAAGAAACTTATGCTTTATGGGGGAAAGTTTGGTGTGAAGGTGAACTTATTAAGGGCAAACTAAATAGATAATTCTAGGTGGAAGAGGGGAGTGAGAAGTAATTTAGAAAAGAGAAGGGGCGGGGCCAGCATGTACAGACATGAGGTCTGGCACACAGACTGTAAAGTGGTAAGCCCCCCCACTTGTTCAGTTCTCAACTTGGACAACCATACATGACCACCCTGGGGGTGGGAAGAACACAGCAGTTTTGACCCCCTCAGCAGACCCAAGGGTGTGAGGGAGTGATGAATCGAGGCAGCTCTACAGGTGCCTGCAGCAGGAGGAACAGGCTGTACCCACCATGAGGACACCACGTGGTCTGGTCGTGGTTAGCAGTTTGCCATCCGGTGGCATTGTCTCTGCAGAAGGTCATCCAGCCAGGGAGGCGAGGGGAGCAACTGTTCTGCTGTAAGCAATCTCTAGTACCTGGAGGGATGCGGGTGGGGAAATCACCCCAACACACCCCCCACACACCAAATGCTGTGGACAGAGATGATCACAGCAGCGCAGCGGGGAGGGCTGTTTCCTGAGCCAGCAGTGAACTTTGGAAGCGGAGGACACTGTGTTCTGAGACTTCACTGAGCAGAGGACGCGGTGAAGAACCTGTCCTGGCCTCCTCCTTCCTCTCCAGTCCTTCAGACCGGGCACAAAAACGATCACCCTGTGATTGTGGGGCCTGTCTCCGATGAGTCACCTTGCCCACAGCAAGCCTTTCGGGGTGATGTTATCGGCCCCTCTGCTTACTTAATTCCCTGGTTGACATCACCACCGCCTGGTCTCCTTCTCGGCACTGCAGCCTGCAGGCTGGCATATCCTGGAAGGGAAGGTGGTGTAGGCCTCTTGCCAGAAGCCACCAGGGCGGGTAAATGGGGACCCTCAGTCACGTGGCCGTTAGCCTCAAGGTGCTTGGCCTAGTTTCTTGACTTGCTGGACAGAGGTCTCCGTTTACCTCCCAGCAAATGCTCTCTGGAGTCTGCATTCTTGGGGTGCAGTCCCCAAGTCCAGTCTTCTGCTGGCTCAGGCATGTGTTTCTAAGTTCTGTCTCATGCAGGCCTATCTGCCTCCAAGCCTCTGTGATGGGCCTTTGGGTTCCCAGGCTCTCCCAGGCTCAGACTGGGCTGCCCTGCCGGCCTTCTCCCCGCCTCCCTGTCCAGCCAATTTTCCCCGGGGACCCAGCTCCCTCGGAGGCCCCAGCTCCTTCCTTGCTGCTGCCCTAACCCCAACCTGGAGGGCTGCCTCCTGGGAGCCGAAGCCTGTCCTCCCCCCACCTTCCTCCTCCGCCGCCACCTAGCATTCCCTCTGGCCGCCCTTCTCAGTGCCGCCCTGTGGTCAGTGGCACATGGTAGGGGCCATGGAGTCAGCGGAGCAGGGATGACCAGAGACACATGCCGTTCCACGTCAGCCTCAGCCCGGTCTCTTCTGCGGCCAGGTGCCATGAGGAGGGAAGGGTTCGGTCCCCCGCCCACCATCTAAGGTGGATAGCAGAGGGGGGAGGCTGGGAGGTGCACGAGGCCCTCCGCTCAGGCCACAGGGGCAGGACCTCAGTCCTTGATGGGAGGCTGCCCAGGCTTGGCACGTCAGGGAGGCCCTGAAGGGAAGTGGGTGGGGCCAGGCAGGGAGAAGAGCCAACCCTTTGAACAGCCCAAGCAGCATCCTCTGTGGCCCCTGGAGACAGCACCTCAAATGTCACTCCCTGAGGCCAGGGCAGGGGGAGGGGGAGGTTGCTCAACACCATTCACGATGAAATGAACTGTTCTTAGAAGGAAAAAGAAAAAACAAACAGAAAACCCCCAAACCCACCACTGAGGTCCCTCCTCTTACCCCCAGCAGCTCCTGAGCGGCTCCTGAGAGCAGATAGCATACCTGGGCCATGGCCAGCTCTCCCCGACTCACCCTCGTGGCCAGAAGGCCATCAACTGGCCTGGCCACTCTGCACCCAAACACTGGCTGCCTCAGCATCCTGGAACGTCGTCGAATGCTGTTCCAAGTAAGACGGGGGTGAGTCCAGAGAGAGGCATGGAGGAGCAAGCCTGGGCTCAGCCCTACACACCCCAGTCTTTTTGAGCTTCTCTTTCTCCACCTGTCAAATGGAGGAAACCATCGAGGACTCAATGAGATAATAAATGTGGAAGTGCTTAGCAGTGTTCACTAGCCAGCCAGGAGGCGGGGGTGGGGGAGGGAGGTCCTGCAGAGAAGGGAAAAGGGAGTCAGGAAGAGTTTCAAAGACGAGGCCATACCTCAGTGATTTAAGAACTTTAAATCAGTTGACTCCGTCTGCTCTGGAATCTTTTAGCTTCCCTTTAAGCCCTGAGTTGAGTTCTTATTCATGCTGTCAGGGAGGTGCACACCTTGAGAGTGATGGGCACCACTGCTGAACTTAGCTTGTGGTCAGCTCAGACCCCTGGATCCCTTTTCAAGTTTGAGAACACAGGATCCTCAGGGTAGTCTAGTGGGTGTTCTACTGTAGTACTTCCCTTCTAGGCCACAGACTGAGCTCAAATTCTAGTCAACCCAGACTGCTTTACCTCAGTGAGTATAGCCTGATTCTGGCTGTAGCTTGAGCCTGTATCCCTCTTTAATCCTGAGCCCAAAGCTCACCTCCACTTACATAGCTAGGCCCCACATACCTCAAACTCATTTATTCCAGACAACCTGTCTTTCTCAGTAGCCCCTCCCTCCGCTTGGGTGCTAGATTGTAGTTCATGGTAAGACTCGCCATCACGCAAGCCAGAGGCTGAGTCATCCTTGACCACTGCCTTCTGTCCATCACATCTGATTAGCCATCTCATTTAGTGGATTCTAACACTTTGGTATTTTGAGTTTTTACCCTTCCCCTCTCCCTGCCCCCATTTCTGTAATAGTTTAGATACTCATCTCTTTCCTTAAGAACAGTAGAACCAATCTCACCTCCTGGGCCATCCTCCATATAGCTGCCGGGGGCGGGGGGCGGTCTCTGCTGATGCAATGAAACCCTCCCCTTCCGGTAGCTCCTGCCAGCCCCCCTTCCCCACTGCCCCCCCTACCCCCCTCCCCGGCCTCAGGCCCCAGCACTGTAGGACACGGACAGGCCATGTGCATGTTGGGAAAAGCTGGGCTGAAACTGCTCGCTTAGGTTTGCTCAGGCTGCTGAGAATGCCCATCCCCTCCTTGTCAGCCTAGAGAGTAGTAACCTCCTCCTCCAGGAAGCCTCCCAGACTGCATATGTATGTGTGGGTTGCTCCTTCCCCAGTGCCCTGGCTGTACTCTGTTCATTGCATAGTGAGTGCGCACTGCCCTGTGGTGCCTCCCCGGCTGTAGACTCATCTTTATTCTCTCTCCTCCTGGACCCTGATTCCACCAAGAGAGCAGTGGGCGCGTGCCAGGCAGGCCTGGGGGGTATTCAGCTTTGCCCCCTTCCCACTGGGGACTTCAGACAGTTATCTCCGAACTTTCCTTCCCTTGTCTATGGGTTGATACCATTACCTGCTTCTCAGGATGGGTCACTGAGTCAGTCAAATGCTTGGCACAGAGCCTGGCACACCACAACCGTGGTAGCAAATGGCACCGACGGTTTCCACTGTTGTTACTAATTACCAGGACCTGGGAAAAAGTGCTGACACCTCAGCCCCCCTGTCCCTTCCCTAGAGCTCTCCTTCAGCTCAGCCCCTTTGGTCTCTGCCTCTGCTACTCCGCTTTCTGGTTGTCTGCTCTCCCCACCTGGACAAGGTTTTGGGCAAGGTTGCCTGTTCCCCTTTTACACACTGTTCCTCCCAGGACAGGCCCTCCCCCCACCCCCGCCCCCGCCCCCAGCCCAGTGCTGTCCACACAGGGCTGCAATACTCAGTGTCAGACTATTCTCAGCTGGGGCTCAGTTTGGGCTGCCTCGTTTACCTCCCATACTGCAGTTGAGGTGGTTTGTTCAACAAAGCCCCGAAGTGTGCCCCCAGCCACACAGGGAATGCAATGCCGAACCCGCAGGCTAGTACACCGGGTCTTCTGAGGCTCCAAAGCCAAGACTCTGTCCACTCTGCCCTGCCGCCATCCCTTCCAGTCTTTTTTGCATCTATATAGCTCAGCCTCCTCATCTGCAAAATGGGCATAATAGTTCCTTCTCCTTCTTCCTCATCCGGAGGAAGGGAGAACAATGGGGTCAGTCTGCGAAGATGTGAGGAGCTGGAGACCCTGCCGTGTTCCAGGCAGGGAAGTCTGGCTGAGGTATGTGGGGGGTGGGGCACAGAACAGGACAGAACAGGAGGTGAGGGAGGCTAGTCCTGCCTGCACCCGCCCAGCGGCCCAAGCCCTGTGCCTGAGTCCACAGTGCCCCCTGCTGGTGAGTCGTCCCTGAAGCTCCCTGTGGGCAGCACCAGCTCCACGCTTCGCTTTTCCCCAAGGTGACCACCGGGAAGGCGTGGCCCCTGCCCTCAGGGAGCTCGGTCTGAGGGTGGACGTGCACCCATGGCTCAGGAAGCCCAGACTGGGGCGGGGGGGAGCCAGCGCCTCTGTCTGAGAAGGGAGCTTCTTAGGCCAATGAATTCACCATTCTTCTCCCATAAATCCACTGAAATCAGTGGTTCTCAGCCGGGCATGGTTTTGCCCCCAGGGAACATTTGGCAATGTCGAGATAATTCTGGTTGTCGTGACTAGAGGAGGTGCCACTGGTGTCTGGCAGGTAGAGATCAGGGATGCTGCAAACCATCCTACAATGCAGCCCCATGACAAAGAAATACCCAGCCTAAAATGTCAATAGTGTCAAGGTTGAGAAACCCTGATTTAAATGAATTCACAGATTGGGTGTTAAAATAGTGGCCGGGAAGGGGGTAATGGCTCATGCAGGGGATGGGGACAGAGCAGCCTCCCCTCCATGTGGCCTTTTCAATCTCCCGTGCCTCACCCACGGCTGCCTGGTCAAGACTTATGTAAGTGGAGGCTGATTTTAGCCAGAGGAGGAGGAACAGGGCCTCTCTAGAGGACCCATGGGGAAGTGGGTGCTGTGTGGGGGAACCCTCTGGGAGCAGGGGCTAGCTTGGCCTCAGCTTAGTCATCTGTAAAATGGGGATGGGTGTTCCCTTCCAGTCCCAATGGTCAAAGGCCCTAAACTGTGACTCTCTGCGTGCACGGGTCCTTTCCCCCCATGCTGCGGGGCGGGAGACCTCCCTCAGGGCTGAGGGTGGAGTGCCAGCCATCAGCCCCTTAAACAGATGCAGGGGGTGGGGGGGTATTGTGACTTTAATTGCCCTCCCAGGAAACAGCTGTAAGCACAAGAATGCTTTGATAGGCTTCATCAAAGCTTCTCCATGTCCCCTGGGGACTGACTGGGTGGGGGGCATGCAGAGTCTTCAGCTGGGAACAGCTGTTCGCCAGGCCCTCATGCAGAGGTGGAGGCTGTGAAGGGTGCCCCCCCCCCACTTTGGCTGGGGTTAAGAATGTCCCAAGACTGGTTACCCTGAGACAGGCCTCTCTAGGGGCTCTTTGGGGTCCTTCTCTGCACCCTTCCTGGGTGGGCTTGGGTGACTCAGGGCCCTTGGCAGTTGAGCAGAGGCAGCTTGCCTTTTGTGAAGAGATTTTTCATGGGGAGCAGTCTGACTCCGATTCCCTGGGGCAGGGGTCTGCAGGGCGGGGGGCGGGCGAAATCAGCCCTTCCAGCCCCCTTAACCCCACAGGGCCTCTGGGTCTCTGGTTAGTGGGGAGAGAGGGCCCCTGAGCGTGTCTCACCGCAGAGCTCACAGATCTGCCTCAGAGGGATCCAAACCTGTCAGGAAAAGCTTTGGTCTTTGAGGAGAACAAACAGGAACCAAAACTAATTTTGAAGCCTCTCTGCCAGACAGCACCCCTTCAGGACTTTCCACGATGAAAGTGTTGCACTCAGCACCCACCTGGCACCCCCATCCAGCGTATACATAACACCCAACTGAGTGCGAATCATGCACACGGGCGGAAGGCAGTGGGCGTGCAGCCAATTTCAGCTGCATCCCCAGCTGTGCTATATATCTGGGTGCTCATCCTGAACCCCAAATGTCCAAGGCAGTTCTGCTAAACCTTCTCCCAACTGTGCCTCCTCCCGCCGCTGAAAAAACCCAAAAACAACCCTGAGCGTGTTCCCAAAGACTTTTGTTTTTCACATCTGGCTAACACAAGAGATTACCCAACGGCTGGATTCAGGAAAGCTGTTACCCCAAGGGTGATGGTCACGACGGTGGTGGTAGTGACAGCCGGAGTCGCCAGCACTGAGTGAGCACTAGCTGTCCCCCAGGCACGGTGCGATGTGCTTTGCTGACATCACCTCATTCAACCCTCGCCGCCACCCATCAGGTAGCAACTGTTATTATGCCCATTTACAGGTCAGAAAACTGAGGCGCCAAGGAGCTTAAGGAACGTCTGTTGAGACGCCGGTGTCAGAACCGGGGAGAAAGCAGGTGGAAACGTGATGGGCAACGTGGGGCTGTGGGTCAGTGCGTGGGTGGTCTGGGTCTAACATGGGACCCCTTGGGAAGACCCCCCGAGCGTGCTCCCACCCACACTGCCTGAGCCACCTTGTAGTTCTTGGGTTAAGTATTACCCTCTGACGTCCTTCTCTGCTAGTGTGGAGTGTGTGGTCAGACCCCGGGGCCGGGGGGCCTGGGTTTTGGAGAGAAGGTCCTGAGGGGAGGTCTGCAGGCAGAGCTGGGGACTGGTGAGCTGGAGGCCCTGGTTTGTTTTTTTTTTTTTTAAGTGTGGGAAGGACTCACCCAATACAAACACAAACGCAGATGTGAAGGTACATAAGCAACTTGATAAGAGTATTGTCACAGGAATTAGGACATGATCATGAGGACAGTTTGGAATTCATAAA